CGGGTACCCGTTTGGGAACTTAGGTTGAAATAAATATCTGTTAAGAATAGGGAGTCTATTGTAATTTTACATATAAAAAATTTAAAATAGAAAAAGTTAAATTTTTACAATAACCTAATTAACTAAATATACAATTATACTTATTATATATAAATTACATTATATAAAAACTTTAATATATTATAATAGATTAATATTAAATTTTTGATTAATTAAGTGTATAATTGGAATTAGGACCAATTAAAAGTGTTTTAACGTTATTAATAGAATTATTTTTTAATAAAATAGTATATTTGATTGAATAATAATATAATATTTAGTCATTTACTTCAATTATCAAGTTCTAATTATTTATGTAGTGAATTAGTAATTAATTAATTATATATGATAAATTGATAAACATTAATGCATTACTAGTTAAATGATTACTTAATCAATTATAACGTTACATTAGTAATTTAGTACATTACTTAATTAAATAATTAGAAATTTAAGTAATTATAACATTACATTATAGATTTATATATAATTACTTAATTAATTATAACATTACATTATAAACAAATTATTACTTAATTAAATGATTAAAAATTTAATTAATTATAATATTACATTAAAGATTTATAGTATGATTACTTAACTCATTATAACATTATATTATAGTATGATCACATAATTAATTATAACATTACATAATTAAATGATTACTTAATTAATTATGACATTATATTATAAACATTAGTAATTTACTACATTAGCACAATACTTAATTAAATAATTATAAATTTAATTAATTATAACATTATATTATGAATTTATAAAATGATTACTTAATTAATTATAACATTATGCTATAAGTAAATGATTATTTAATTAATTATAACATTCCATTATAAACATTAGTACAATACTTAATTAAATGATTAAAAATTTAATTAATTATAATATTACATTAAAGATTTATAGTATGATTACTTAATTCATTATAATATTTCATTATAGTATGATTACATAATTAATTATAACATTAAATAATTAAATGATTACTTAATTAATTATGACATTATATTATAAACATTAGTAATTTACTACATTAACGTAATACTTAATTAAATGATAAAAAATCTAATTAATTATAACATTACATAATGATTAATGTAATATAAATTTATAGTATAATTACTTAATTAATTATAACATTACATTATAATTAAATAATTACTTAATTAATTATAACATTACATAGTTAAGTGATTACTTAATTAATTATAAATTTATAACATTACGTTATAAACATTAGTAATTTACTATATTACTACATTACTTAATCAAATGATTAAAAATTTAATTAATTATAACATTACATTATAGATTTATAGTATGATTACTTAATTAATTATAATATTATATTATAAACATTAGTACAATACTTAATTAAATGATTAGAAATTTAATTAAATATAATATTAAATTATAGATTTATAGTATGATTGTTTAATTAATTTAATTAATTGTTTGTGTTTTGGTTTTGATGGAGGAATTTTATGTGAATTGTGATGAATTGATTGAATTCAAGTGTTTCCTAGAGATTAGAGGATTTATGAGTCACATTGGACACAAATGAATAAGTAATCAAAATTTGTTAGGGGTGTATTTGTAAACTTTTAAGGTATTTTTATCATTTTTTAAACTAATAGGGGGTAATTATTTTTTACAGGGTACCCAGGAAAGGAACCGGAACCTGCATTTTACGTTTCGGTTCCTTGAATTAAAAACCTGCACTATGCAGTTCCGGTTTTGGTTCCTTTTTATGAGAACTTGTATTGCGCGGTTCCGGTTCCAATTCCCTTGAAAAATGCAGGGTACCCGGAACCGTTTACCCCTAATTCCAATATGAGGCAGCTCTTGGTCGATAGGCAAGGTTGGCTGAGGGGCAAGAGCGGGAAACAGTGGGTTGGATGGGGAGCGGTGGGTTTGGAGGAAATAAATTAAAAAAAAAATTGTTGTAATTTTCTTAATTTGGTAACCGATTAGACTAAGCCAAATCTTAAGGATAAAAAAGTCATTTAACCACATTTGATGACGGAAGTTGAAACAGATGTTGACAGAAGGGAGGTATTTGACTAACAATAATATCCAAAATGTTAATGGTAAATTCCTGATGCACTCAAACTTAGCACCTAAGGTTCAGTTTGTAAAACCTCAAGGGTGGAATAAATTAACCCTCAATCTATATTTTCTTAAAAAATTGTAGCATATTTGAAGTAGTCTTACTAGAAAAAAAATAGTTTAAATATTGTAATAATACATTTATGATTTAAAAGTTGTAATATCAGAAATAGAAATTGTAATGAAGTGAATTATATTTGTAATTTATAAATATAAGGCTTATTGAATACCTTTAATATTATTATTAATCAGAACATCTTTATAAACTTAAATATATTCCGGCCCCTAGCCTAGGCCACGGTTTGCTGTGGTGTTAATTTTAAAGGAACTGATTTTCCGAATATAATCTTAATTCTTAAAAACAATTCAGTTCATATGGTGGAAATAAATATATGGATACAAATACAATGCCAATAGTTATCTTGAGTGTATGTCAGACCAGTTGAAGTTTTAAAAGTTGGATAAATATTGATGCGTACGGGGGATATGATTACACGTTGAAGTAATCCCGGAACAGAAAAGCTAAGATGTAGTTGTAAAAGAAGGCAGAAAAAATGGGACAGCTGAACTCATTTAACTCTTTTTTGGTACATTAATAGGATTGGAAATTGCCAGCAACACCCATAAGTTAACCATAACAATTATTGCATGAATCACGAGATCTCAGTACCCCACTCTACCATTTCATAACATCACCTTGGACCAATCTTATAATTTCACCCATAACTATTCCAATATTAATTCGATTCTATTGACTTGAACAAGTCAAAAAGAATGCCTGGAGTTTCTTGAATTGTGTGATTTACTGCAACTGATAAGATACTCTTCTCCATCCCTTATCTCTATTCCTTTGAATTGAACTTGGCTAGCTGATAAGATATTTATTGGCTAATTTGCATTTTAAAAGCCTTTATCTGGGGCAAACTGGGAAACGGCGTGAGGCCTTTATGTCAGCCACATTATTTCATTGACCATTAAAGACACAAAAATGGACCTTCAATCCTTTATGCATATTCATACACATAGCAACAACAAGTTATTAAGACATAAAGCTGAAGAAAGCTCTCTAAAATTCCTTCACCTGCACAAGACCATATATGCATCTAAGGTCTTGCATGTGGAGATGAATAATGGGGTGCAGCCAAGGATGACTTGCCGGCAAATTCATGTATAACTTTAATGATTTATATATTTTGATTTCATTACTGAGATATTGAGAAACCGGCAAGTTGTCTTTGGCTACATTTCAGTGTCATATTTACATGTTAGATCTATAGATGATAATACTATTGGCCGTGAAGAAGATATTCGCATTCCAGCGATGCTAATTGCGCACGGTAATGATATGAAAGTAAGTTGTAAGTTTTCTCCTTACTTTGCTTCATTTAAGCATGTTCCGGGCAATTCTTCCTCTTGGTATAAGCCAGGAATTAAAGTAACAAGTACATCCTTTTAATCTATGGTTTAATAACTCCGAGGGCTGGATTCTTATTCCCTTGAGACTAATTTTTCATAATGTACTGTAATACAATTGCATCTGGTTCAAGTTCTTGTGAACTGTATATGTTTCAAGAAGATATATATAGGACAGCTTAATTGGTAATAGATTTTGATGTTATATTGTTATGAGAATTAATAAGATGGCACACCAAACTCAATGGCCCAAGATGAGCAAAGAAATTGCTTGGTGTTTGATTCTGATAGTATGTATGTACTAATGAAACTTATATGCATACTTTTAGAGCCTGCAAAGATCTTCCTCAGTGGGAAATGTGAAATTTCTGTTGTTGTTCATCATTGTAATCAAAATCTGGGAAGAACTCCATTCTAATTGGACAAGCCACGAACTGACAGATTTTAATGCGAGTTATGCTTTACCTGCTAACTAATTCAATGGGTTTTTATTACCGTTGAGGAGAAATACTACACTCACAAAGAAATTTTACAAAAATCTTTATACAAAGTGATGTGGTAAAAAATGAATAGAAAAGTGAATTTAATGAGTTTGACTTTTTGTTTCACTCTTTTATTCATTTTTTATCACTTCACTTTATATGGAAATATTTGTAAAATTTATTTATAAGTATAGTATTATTGTTGAGAATATTGCTTATCTGATTAAGGATTTAGAAGTCTCCGCTAACAACTCAAACAGCTTTATTAATTAAAAACTTGCCAAGAAGTTGTGTGTGGAGGTTACTCTGGCAGGGAGTACAAACAGAAATGGCGCATATGGATGTATGTAAAGTCATTAATCCAACAACTATGCTCTCCATATTTACTTGCAGAAAAGTATAAAGGCTTACAGGAAGCATGGGTCTTTGCAAACCATTAATTTTTTAGTATTTAGGATACATGGTTGCAGGGCTTATAACACTTACCCATATAAATTAAGGCAAGTTCATATTCCTTAATTGCATTTCTAACTTTTCCGTAAGAAGACATCCTCAAATTACACTACACACGAAGAGATCTATTGTCATTTACCTTGAAGAATATATACATTTTATTGTGAATGCCATGTTTGCAGAAATATATATGGCACACAGATGATTGGATGTATGTATTGCTACGTATTAAAAAGGCAGAAACATGATCAACCTAAGACATATATATTTTTCCTCTAAGGCCAAATTAAAAGTGATATTTATGTTATCCAATTTCTACCGTATAAAATATGAATCTAGCTGATGCTACACGCCACCAAATAATCCCACTACATGCAAAATGCAATCACCAACCAAATGTTGAAAACCGTGTTCCATCTTGTATATATAAAGACAGAGCAAGTGCAAGCAAGAGCAGGTAGAAAAACTCCATCTTAGCTTGGGTAAGCAATATCATCTCTACTCACTTTAGCTTAGCAAATTAACCTAATACCACTTCCAGTGTTCCCCATTGGTTCATTCTTTCTATAAATGCCCGCCTTTACTTCAACCAGTTTCAGCCATAATCATGAAGCCAGGAGCAGATGAGACCGTTGAAGTTTCCAGCAGGGATAATACTGCAAGGCCAACACTGGGGTTGAGCAGAGGGATCTCCATACTTGACCTTATTCTAAGAATTATAGCCGCAATTGGTACACTAGCAAGTGCTGTTGCCATGGGTACTACTGAGCAGACACTTCCAATTTTCTCACAATTCATCTTCAGAGCCAAGTACAATGATCTTCCTACACTCACGTAAGTGATTGCTAATTTATGATAATTGATGACCATTAATGAACTACCAATATTAATTCGAAGAAAACACAGGTTCTTCGTGATAGCCAACTCAATTGTGTGCGGATATTTGGTTCTTTTTCTGCCATTATCTATCTTCCACGTTATCAAGACATCAGCAAAAATTAGTAGACTCGTCTTGCTCGTCTTCGACACGGTACAGAATTTAATTCCTTCCTTTAATTTTTATTTACCAAACAAAGAAAATACAAGTCCTATATACTTTTATTGGAGTCAAACTGATGTCTAATTGATTTTTATTTTTAATTAATTACCCCTTTAATTGTTTGAAACATAATAATGAATGACTAACGTCTACATGCATATGTTATTCAGCTATTTTATCAAAATAACAGAAGCCTCTCCCCTTGAATTATTATTATTATTATTTTTTTTTTTATATGAAAATTGATACCTCCTTTTTATTTTATTTTCAATTTGTAAGTTATAACGTGATTTGAATTGAANATCATTGTAATCAAAATCTGGGAAGAACTCCATTCTAATTGGACAAGCCACGAACTGGCAGATTTTAATGCGAGTTACGCTTTACCTGCTAACTAATTCAATGGGTTTTTATTACCGTTGAGGAGAAATACTACACTCACAAAGAAATTTTACAAAAATCTTTATACAAAGTGATGTGGTAAAAAATGAATAGAAAAGTGAATTTAATGAGTTTGACTTTTTGTTTCACTCTTTTATTCATTTTTTATCACTTCACTTTATATGGAAATATTTGTAAAATTTATTTATAAGTATAGTATTATTGTTGAGAATATTGCTTATCTGATTAAGGATTTAGAAGTCTCCGCTAACAACTCAAACAGCTTTATTAATTAAAAACTTGCCAAGAAGTTGTGTGTGGAGGTTACTCTGGCAGGGAGTACAAACAGAAATGGCGCATATGGATGTATGTAAAGTCATTAATCCAACAACTATGCTCTCCATATTTACTTGCAGAAAAGTATAAAGGCTTACAGGAAGCATGGGTCTTTGCAAACCATTAATTTTTTAGTATTTAGGATACATGGTTGCAGGGCTTATAACACTTACCCATATAAATTAAGGCAAGTTCATATTCCTTAATTGCATTTCTAACTTTTCCGTAAGAAGACATCCTCAAATTACACTACACACGAAGAGATCTATTGTCATTTACCTTGAAGAATATATACATTTTATTGTGAATGCCATGTTTGCAGAAATATATATGGCACACAGATGATTGGATGTATGTATTGCTACGTATTAAAAAGGCAGAAACATGATCAACCTAAGACATATATATTTTTCCTCTAAGGCCAAATTAAAAGTGATATTTATGTTATCCAATTTCTACCGTATAAAATATGAATCTAGCTGATGCTACACGCCACCAAATAATCCCACTACATGCAAAATGCAATCACCAACCAAATGTTGAAAACCGTGTTCCATCTTGTATATATAAAGACAGAGCAAGTGCAAGCAAGAGCAGGTAGAAAAACTCCATCTTAGCTTGGGTAAGCAATATCATCTCTACTCACTTTAGCTTAGCAAATTAACCTAATACCACTTCCAGTGTTCCCCATTGGTTCATTCTTTCTATAAATGCCCGCCTTTACTTCAACCAGTTTCAGCCATAATCATGAAGCCAGGAGCAGATGAGACCGTTGAAGTTTCCAGCAGGGATAATACTGCAAGGCCAACACTGGGGTTGAGCAGAGGGATCTCCATACTTGACCTTATTCTAAGAATTATAGCCGCAATTGGTACACTAGCAAGTGCTGTTGCCATGGGTACTACTGAGCAGACACTTCCAATTTTCTCACAATTCATCTTCAGAGCCAAGTACAATGATCTTCCTACACTCACGTAAGTGATTGCTAATTTATGATAATTGATGACCATTAATGAACTACCAATATTAATTCGAAGAAAACACAGGTTCTTCGTGATAGCCAACTCAATTGTGTGCGGATATTTGGTTCTTTTTCTGCCATTATCTATCTTCCACGTTATCAAGACATCAGCAAAAATTAGTAGACTCGTCTTGCTCGTCTTTGACACGGTACAGAATTTAATTCCTTCCTTTAATTTTTATTTACCAAACAAAGAAAATACAAGTCCTATATACTTTTATTGGAGTCAAACTGACGTCTAATTGATTTTTATTTTTAATTAATTACCCCTTTAATTGTTTGAAACATAATAATGAATGACTAACGTCTACATGCATATGTTATTCAGCTATTTTATCAAAATAACAGAAGCCTCTCCCCTTGAATTATTATTATTATTATTTTTTTTTTTATATGAAAATTGATACCTCCTTTTTATTTTATTTTCAATTTGTAAGTTATAACGCGATTTGAATTGAAATGATTGTTTATGTAGCTAATTTGAGTTCAGTTCAATCCATACATAATATACTTCCTCCTGTGAATTAATGACACATATATAATGGTCACCTTGGCAAACTAAGATAAAATAAATTAGGTAGAATATTGAATAATTTATACATGTAATTCATCATGTTGTTATTCTAATGAAGTAGATTAACTGAGACTTGTGAAGGTAATGTTGGCTCTCATCACTGCCGGAGCTTCTGCAGCAACAGCCATAGTATACTTAGCGCACGAGGGCAACTCTAACGCTAACTGGCTTGCAATTTGCCAACAGTTCAATACCTTCTGTCAGCGTATTTCCGGATCTTTAATTGGCTCATTTGGTGCAGCCATTCTACTAGTTTTCTTAATCATTATATCAGCTGTATCCATCTATCGTCTCTAGCCAATTGTGTTACAAATTAACGGTGTCATGTTATCTATACATATAACATATTGTACATTAATCCCTCTATATTAATTTATTAGGTCTAACGCTTTGGTATGTTGTGCAAAGAAGATCCAATAATTACTTATTTACAATATCAAATCCAACCCAAAAATTATTGAAGAACAAAATTAAAAATAGAAAACGAGAAAATAAAAATATGGTTGTCAAGATCCAGATAAAGGTTCATCGTGAGCGGCCTTCCATACTACGTGAACATTGCCACAATATCATCTAAATTCTTCAATGTCTTCTCGTAGTATAGGTATGATTCGTATACCTTTGGCGTACGTACATAATAGTCAAACTGGAAAAAACAAAATACAATTAGAAAAACTCCTACTATTTAATAACATATATAACATATTGTGATGTGGGAAGTACTAATTTCAGTTAAAAAAAATTATAAATTTCTATAGAAAGACTTGTAAATTGAGGCCATACCTCAGCGATGTTATCAACCAATTCATTGGCTGTTTTGACATACTCCTTCCTGGCCCCCTGTGGCAACGTAGTCATGGCGTTCTTCAAATCCTGAGATAGATAAGCTGACTTCAACCGAATATACTTTATGACATACCCCCACGCCATGCGGTCTAGCATCTCTCTCATGCTATGCAGCCCCTCCGTCGTCTGCTTGATTCTTGCCACTGCATCTTCCGGTGATAGCCCTGGTTCGAAAAATCTCTCCCTTATAAACGAACGAGTTCCCCAATTCTCAGCTAGTGCAAGAGGAATGCCAGTGCCAATGCCAACGCCCTGCACCCCAAGTGCCAGTGAAGTTGCTAACAATGTTGTCACAATCTTTCTCCGGTTGGTCACATTTTGACATTCTTGAGGTGAAGATAAAGCTCTGGTTACTGGAAGCAAGAGTTTGGTGTGGTGGTTATGGGGTGAAGTGGTGGTGGCGATGTTGTGGGCACGGAGGAGGGTTGTGGAGTTAGTGATGCTCATGATGGTTTTGGATAAAATTTGATAGAACTTAAATTCATTGAAAAATAAGAGTGCGTTGGAGAGATTGTTTTTGGCAGGTTGCGACGGTGGACCTTAGCTTTTTCCCAAGTGGCACTTTGTTATCTATTTAGTTTGAGATCAGGCGCTTCCGAATGCAGTTGCACTCTTTAATCCATCATTTATGTGGCTATCATTCATTTTAGGCTGGTTCTTTTAATTATACCCCCTTTGTAATGAGTTAATAGAAATTACCATATATCACGAACTGAGAGTTTCACGTCCAAAAAACTAACATATTAGGTGGAAAAACTCTCTCACTTATAAACCCAAAACCCCTATTTCCCTTTTAATGTGAGATATATTTACTTTCGATGTAGGATATGTGACACACAACTTCCTTTCACATCTAGAGAAATTATCAAACACCTTACTTTGCCTCCACTTCATAACAGTCATTAATTAAGTCCAAAGGTAAAATTATAAGATTACATATTTTTTTAGTTAGGTTTTTAGAGTTTGATGAGTGAGTTTTCTTGTAAGACTAATTCCTTACACAATAGAACGACTAAACTAATAGAAACATTATTATTTATTAACAAAGAGAGACAGTGAATAAACATAGAAACTAATTACTTTGATTTATACAAGACTTGAGTTGATTTTCTTCACAAGTTTTAGTCTAATTTAAGGTATAGAAGAGAGATTAATGACAACCTTGATTTTTCACTTTTTTAGTCACTTCCAATGTTTTTAAACCAAACCTATGCATCGACCCGGTCAAGGGCTTGAGTCCTGGGCTGACCGATCCAATCGACCGGTCTGGCAGTGTGCAGTAAACCTATCCCTAAAAAACTCCATCAGTCCCTGCAAGTTTAAAATAAAGCAAACACACCGCTAAAAATTACACAGCAGTCCCTACAATTTTGAAATAAAGCAAACACATCCCTACATCATCTATACTTTTTTTTCTTCTCTCTTCATCACTTTCTTCTCTCTTCTATGACTTTCCCCTCTCTCTTCTGTAACTTTCTTCTCTCCTCTCCTGTTTCTTCTTCCTTCCTCTTTCTCTTCTTCTTCTCTTCTCTTCTCTTCTCTTCTCTTTCTTTTTCCTTCCTCATTTCTTTTTCCCTCCCTTTGAAAGTAGTGTTATTTCTTTTTCTTTCCCTTTGAAAGTAGTGTTATTGAGGAAATTTACTAAATAAACTATACAAGACCAATATATTATAAGATTCTTGCATTAAAAATGTTCCAACCTTTGATGATTANTGACAAAAGAAATCATTCCTCTTATTATGCAGATATCAACAGCGGAGATGCAAGAATGAAGGAATAAAAAACTGAGTTATTATTGTAATTAGAAGTACGTAACTGGTCATGTTTGTAAAAAGAGGTAGATTTGATTATTGAAATTTGATCAACCTAAAGAATTCATAGAAGAGAATGAAACTGAAGAGAACTAAAAAGAAAAGCCTATAATCTAAGTTCATGCTCTTGTTGGAACAGTATCGCATCAAACAATGAGGATTTAAGGTAACATTAAGAAAAACAAATCTTCAAACCTAACTCACCGATCTGCGACTGCAATGGTGGGGAGGAGAGTCGCGAGTCTTGGGACGGAGAGAGACAAGAGATGACGAGCCGATTCCTGACGACGACAGAGAAAGGAGATGACGAGCGGACGAGAATGAGTGAGGGCGATCGACGACGGTGGGATTGGGAATGGGATCACGGTTCACGGATGAGAGATTGAGAGTTAGGAGAATGAATGAGTCAGGTGAGGTTAACTAATGAGTGGACAAAGTGATGAGAGATTGAGAGAATGAATGAGTCAGGTGAGGTCTATTGATGAGAGATTTAGAGGCGAGAGAGAATGTTATTTTGTTTTACAGTTAGGGAATTAGGGTTAAGGACTTCAGATTTGCAAAAAACGGGTACCCGCGGGTTTACCCATATAATCCATTAATAATACGGGTCGAGCCGGGTACGGGTTGGAAAAAAACGGGTCCAACATATTAAACCCATACCCTATGTTTTTTACCTGGGTATGGGCCGACTTGCGGGGCTGAACCAGTTTTGCCAGGTCTAATTACACCCCCTCAGTAATGAGTTAATAGAAATTACCACATATTAAGGACGGAGAGTTTTACGCCCAAAAGGCTAACCTATTAGGTGGAAGAACTCCCTCACTTATAAACCCAAGACCCCCCATTTCCTTTTTGATGTGGGATATATTTCCCTTTCGATGTGGGATATGTGACACACAACTTCCCTTCACATCTAGAGAAATTATCAAACACCTCACTCTGCCTCCATTTCATAATAGTCAATAGTTAAGTCCAAAGGTAAAATTATAAGATTACATGATTTTTTTAGTTAGGTTTTTAGAGTTTGATGAGTGAGTTTTCTTGTAAGACTAATTCCTTACACAATAGAACGACTAAACTAATAGAAACATTATTATTTATTAACAAAGAGAGACCGTGAATAAACATAGAAACTAATTACTTTGATTTATACAAGACTTGAGTTGATTTTCTTCGCAAGTTTTAGTCTAATTTAAGGTATAGAAGAGAGATTAATGACAATCTTGATTTTTCACTTTTTTAGTCACTTCCAATGTTTTTAAACCAAACCTATGCATCGACCCGGTCAAGGGCTTGAGTCCTGGGCTGACCGATCCAATCGACCGGTCTGGCAGTGTGCAGTAAACCTATCCCTAAAAAACTCCATCAGTCCCTGCAAGTTTAAAATAAAGCAAACACACCCCTAAAAATTACACATCAGTCCCTGTAATTTTGAAATAAAGCAAACATATTCCTACAATATCTATACTTTTTTTTTTCTCTCTCTTCATCACTTTCTTCTTTCTTCTTTCTTCTTTCTTCTATCACTTTCCCCTCTCTCTTCTGTAACTTTCTTCTTTCCTCTTCTCTTTCTACTTCCTTCCTCTTTCTCTTCTTCTTCTCTTCTCTTCTCTTTATTTTTCCTTCCTCATTTCTTTTTCTCTCCCTTTGAAAGTAGTGTTATTGAGGAAATTTACTAAATAAACTATACAAGACCAATATATTATAAGATTCTTGCATTAAAAATGTTCCAACCTCAAAGAATGAAAATTAAGATGCTATATATATATATATTTATTTATTATATTTGCTTTGTCTAATTTCATTCATATTTTTATCTGTCTCTTATCTTTTATTACTATCCACTTGCAATGCCAACATAAACAAAAGGCAGAGTCAACCATACACTTTTGTCCTTCTTGAAGCTCAAGAAAAAGAACTTTCTCAGAAGCCAAACAACCTAAATAACAACAAAACTCCTCTCTACTCACTTTTCTAATTCTCAACACTTACTCTTTTTAGGAATTGAAGATTGAAATTGAAGACGAAGAAATGAAGAAATGAATTGCGTTGGAGGTAGAATCTATTTGATGTCATCGAATTGAGATTTGAAAATGAAAGTTGAATGAAAAAGGATTAGGGTTTTTTTATGCAATAACCCAATTTTGTCCTAAAACTGGTTGGACCGACAATTAACTATAGTAACCTCAGTCCAACCACAGGTCATACCAGGTCAATTGCATATATCGGGTTTTATTCATTTAAAACTCGGCTCCGATTTCTAGTTAAACCAGTTGAATCGTTTCACCCTGGCCGAGTTTGAAAACACTGGTCACAAATAGAGGTCATGGGAGGTGAATGACAAATTCATCAAATGTGAAGGGAGGGGTTCATAAAAATGACTGGGTTTAATTAGCAGAAATATGAAACCTCAAGGAAGGTAACTGATAATCAGCCTATATAAATTACCCTTAAAACACGTCTAACTATTCTTTTCCTAGACTTTTTCTACGCTTAAGTTTCATTTCGAATATTTTTTTAATTCATTTATAAACTTTAAAATGACAAATGAAGGGGGGTTTTGTTTGTAAAACTTTAAATTTGAAAGAAAACTATAAGTTTTTGACATAAAAAGATAAATAAATAACTACTTATGTGACCCTATTTTAAGAGTGGAATTAAAAAGTAACCCATTTCTAATTGTCTTTGTAAGTGAGACATTTGATACGAATTCTAAGCAGTTTTACCCTTCTTGGCTTCTTCGGTTCTCTTCTTTCTATTCTCTTTTCTTCTTTTTCTCTTCTTTCTTCTCCTTGATGTTTTTAGATTTATGTGTTTTGTATTGTTCATATATGATTAGGGGGTGTATATTATGTCCATATATCTTTACTATAAATGAAATAATGCATATTTAGGAAAAATAAAAAAATAAAAAACCCACACTATGAATCGAAAGATATTTCCAGAAAAATTGTAAAAACTCGAGCCGCAAGAGTCTAGTCTCACAAGAGTCCCACCTCGCACGAGTGGGGTATAATGATATTAACCTCACTCGAGTGAGGTCTTTTTGATATTTTATAAGGTTATAATAATATTTTAATTATATGTAAAATATCAGTTTGGCCCATATAAAATATCAAAAAAGTTTAATCGAGCAAGGCTAATATCATCATACCCCACTCATGCATTGCAAGAGTCTAGTCAAGCAAATTATATATATATATTAAAAATATTTTTGAAATTTCATATATCCTTTAACACTATATTCTTTCAAAAAAATCCATCAATTTTTTTTTCATTTTCATGGAAGCAAATGATATTAATATGATGTGGAAGATAAGGTTAGAAGTGTCCAAAATTTTTATGAGAGGTTTGTCTTACAAAGTCTTTTGAAAGTTGGTTATTTTTTAATTGGATTTTTTTTCAAAAGTTTAACTAAGTAAATTTCAATAAAAAAAAATATTGTTAATGAAAATTTTATGTGTATTAGAGGATGGCCTAAATAATTATTCCAATTTGATGACAAAACTGTAACCGGAAAATATTATATAGTACGAGACTTATAACCATACGTCAATACTCACGTACTTGTTTAGAGTGTTGTCATTTATTTGAGTCCCACTAAAATTCTTTCTAAGCCCTATATTAAATTAAATTAACATAGAAGTAAGGAAAATTACAAGCGTGATTCTTTTTAGTTTTTTTTATTTTTTATTTTTTTAAAGAATTTATAAAAT